AACTGGGAAGCAAAAAAGAGCATTTCAATATGAATATGTGTGGGAGAGTGTGTCTGTGTGTGTCTAAGAGGGTTACACAATAAACATGCTCATTGTGAAGTGCATTGTGACGTTTTCCTTACTCTTTGAGTAACAGTCAGATGCACATACACACACAACCCATTAGATGCTTCTTCTGCTCAAACTATGTTGTATCCCTTCTAGTCTGCACTGCAGCGGAGAGCCAGATTGTGTTCTCTAGCCAGAGAAAAGCAATGGATTTAGTGTCTGGTATCTGGTATGTGTGTGGGTGTGCGAGTGTGAGCATGTATCCATTTCTTGTGTGTCTCTACGATTGCACACTGGAGCGTGAATGTCCCACATGGTGTGTGTGTGTGTGATGCCATAGGCTGGTGCTGAGTCCTGGCCCGGTTCCTTTTTCCTTTGGTCTCCTGAGGAGATTGATCCTACAGAACAGGTGTCACTGTTTTAGCTGCCTTAGTTCATGTGCGTGCGTGTGCTTGTGTGTTTGATGCCACAGGCTGTGCCGCCCTACCAAGTCTCCACTCACCCAGCAATGATCCCTCCACTGTATGTTACTGCTGATGCACAATCTCCATTCAGCTTGGACACGAAGCCAAAGTGTGAAACCAGCCGAAACATTCACAAACCCCTGTTCTTTTGTTATTACACATCACTGCATCCATATATGCAAGGACTTACTATTATATGTGACCATACCATTGTGTTACTAACATAAGGTAACTGAAGCAAGAAAAAAAAAACATGTCCAGGTCACATTCAGGGTTATTTTTTTTAATTTAAGGGGACCTATTATGCCCTTTTACAAAGTCTTTATTTTGTTTTTAATGCTTGAGTGTTCAAAAAACACATTATTTTTCACATATTTACATTGTTGCAGCACCTTTCTTACCAGTCTGTCAGTAACGCACTGGGGTGCGTTTCTCAAAAGCATCGTTAGCCAACTAGTTCAGTTGAATTGTGTTGATAACAAAGGAACTTGCGACTATAGTTGGTTTCGGGCAAACCCCTGTTTAATTCCTGTCTCTATGAAGCTCCACGTGATGTGCTCTGATTGGTCAGCTGAATTGGTGTGTTGTGATTGGTTAACTGCTTTAAGAGTGTTTCGGAAATGTCACGCCCCTTACCATAACCTCCAGTTTTAGTACACTACTAATGCAACTCAACTAGGCCTTGCCCCTTTTTTGTGTATAACTTGGGCGGGAATTATTTAAATGAGGGATATTGTGACATTTATGTTCCCGGGATAAAACTCAAGACTACAATCAAGGCGTTTCAGGGAGTTCAGAAACAGTACTTACTGATATAGAGAATAACTCCCTTTCGAGTGAACTTAGTGATTTGTACATTTGCAGACCTTCTTCAAAGAAAGTAAAAAAAAAAAAAAAAAAAAAAAAAAAAACATATTAGGACACTTTGAAACTAAATTAAAACTAACACTGAAACAAAAATAAATTAAACATAAAAATAATATTGAAAAAAATAAATAATAAAAATTACGACAGCACAAAAAAATTAAAAAAATGTAACACAAAATTAACATGAAAATATAAAAAATAAAATCTATTTCAAAATATTAATAAAAAATATAAAATAATATAAATAATACTAAAATAACACTGCTCACTCCAAAATCAAAATATATATTTTTTAAATGAAAAATAAAATATATTTTACATAAAGTAAATGTGAAAAAGAACAATTTGCATGAATTGGCATAAAGAAAATTTAATTATTTTTGTACTAAGTTTTTTTTCACCACCTTTTCCTCCTAAATGGTTCTTAACATGGAACATTTTGCTTAAGGTTTATTGAGCAAACTTTAATATAAAGAACCTTAATGGGTGTATGTTACCCGGCCCGGGACACTTTCCCATTCTCATTATTCTTAATAGTGACTCTTACTTTCTAAATTTAGATTTTTTTTTATTGTATTACATTTAAAAATGTAGTAAATTTATATTTTTCATTACTCTTATTTTAAAGACAGTACAACTACTACCATAAGTAAATTAAGTGTACTGTACGTAATTATATAAATTAAATCAATATTTTTTCAGCATTACAGTAGAGTAAGAATAAAGAATACTGTTTCTTTGCATTTAGGAAAAGGATAGTTTGATAGGAAATGTGCTTAACTGTCATTCAAACTTCAATATGCAAAAAAAAACTTTTAAAAATCCTAACATAACAGCTTAATTTTCTTTACATTCTTATATTTATCTTTTCATTTTGGATGAGTTATGACTGATCAAAGATCTTTAACTGTCATTTAAAAAAACTTCCGCCATGCACTTAAAATGAACACCATGTGCTTGGTCTCTATGATGCTATCTTTGGTCAAATAGCTACAAATCTGTTTCACTTGCATCACACATGCACGCACGTCCAAAAGGACAGAAATGAGTGTACCTCCCCAGATCACTCTTTTTTCCATTCTTTTACCGTTTCCTCTCACATGCTCATGCCCAGTGAGTCCAACAGAACCCCAGGAAGCACCACCACCATACAGACAACAGAGAGAATGAGCAGATGGTCTGAGAGAATCAGAGAGAGAGAGAGAGAGAGAGAGAGAGATGGCAAAAGGAAAGGGGAGGCGTAGGAGCATGAGAGTATGAGGGACTTTTTTTTACTGGCACTCATACAAGCAAAGACCTTATAAACTCATCATTCCGACAGAGTATTTTTAAAACAGTCTAACACCTCTGCCATCGCACTGTTTTACCAAACTATTAGCACTCGGATGAAAAAAGAAGTTATAAACAGCCAGCCAACATACTGAGCTAAGGAAACTGACCAATAGAAAGTTTTGCTGCTACCTAAAACCAAACGCTGGCAGAGAAGGGTTGTTCTCACAATAGCTGCCCTGTCCAGTTCTTGAATAACCTCTACTCTACAGAGATTTTTAAACTCAACAGCAAGTTACATGTGACAACTCTCCAAGAGATGGAGTATACATTAGCATTAGTCCCCCTTCTCTGTAACAGTAAAGATAATATTAGAGAAATGATCGTACACCGACCTTAACTCATGGCAGTCTGCCAATCATGATAGAAGAACTGATCAATTAAAGTATCTTAAAAGTTGCTATTGCATTGCATTGATCCATGTCTTTCCGCATAAGTGTATGCACAGGGAAGAAGAATAGTGTTGGCCTAGTCGATGTCCCAAAAGTAGAAGGTTCAATGTGAAAGGGAACTTCACCGATTCAGGGATCATACTCTGTAACCATTGCATCCTTTAGCGAGCCTTCAGTATATAAGGAGACTTTTCTTGTAAAAAGTGTTCTGCAAGTACCTTTTAATGTAATAAATTTGGTAAATGACAAGCAGCAGTAAAGAATACTAGATACATTAAATCTTTAATGGACAAAAAAATTCTGTCATAATTCAGTCATTATTTAATCAACCTCATGTTGTTCCACATAACACATTTATGAGTTCTTCCGTGAAACAAAAAAGGATATTTTGAAGTCTCAAGGTCTTTTGTCCATACAATGAAAGTCAGTGGGTCCAATCTTTTGTGTTCCACAGAAGTAAAAAGGTCATACAGGCTACTTAATAAATTGTAATTTTTATGTGAACTACTACTTTTTGTCTTCAAAATCAATCGCCTGGTTTCACAGACAGGGCTTAGATTACACCAGGATTAGAGCTTAGTTTAATTAAGACATCTAAGTAGCTTTTATAAACGTCCAAAAATTACTGTTGTGCATCTTGAGAGAAGACAATGGCACTGACATATTTTAAGATATGTCAGTGCAAGTTGCTTTCAGTTAAAACAGCTCAAACATGCATTTTTTTCCAGGACTAGGCTTAAGCCTTGTCTGTGAAACCAGAGGAAGATGTATTATCTTACTGACTTCAAACTACTTATGTTTTTTATGCGCATTATAATTTTTCTCTCGGTTTTCATGTAATCTGGACTACCAGCTCAATTTTGACTGAGCCACCACTTGATGTGGTTTACTCAACTGTGCACACACAGTATTGAAAGGCAACTTCATCTCTCTCGTTTTTTCGCTCCACACTGCAAGGCTCCATTAAAGCTCATATGCTGACATCAGCAGCCCCCCTCCACACTCACACAGGCACTCAAACAGTCACTTGCACACTCCGCCAATCCCAGCCAGCGGGAAACCACGCACACCCACACAGCCGCAGGCCTCTGAACACAGACCTGCACACGTAACACATGCTTACACATGGATATGAAAACACATGCACATCAGGCCTGGCTCCACAGGGGGGACAATGTGAGCCTAGCCCACCTGGCAACCACCTCCCTCTTTATTGGGTACAGTACTGGGGTAGTACCATGGTACTTTAAACTCATGGTTTAAAAATACTCCAAGACGTTCTATAGAAAATGTAAAAGAGTGGGGTACAATCTCCTTAATATTACACAAATAATATTAAAGAATATTTATAGACTACTTTAAGTGTGATAAAATATGTTCAAAATGTCAACATTAGCTTTGCTGAACAGTGCCGGCACATCCAAAAAGAAGTTAAGCCCACAAATGTTTCCAATGGTAACAACATGGTGCTTTGATGTACCACAATACTGAACGTATCTTATTTACATGCTACTTTAATGTATTTTAAACAATACCATGGTATTAGAAATGGTATTTGTCCTAAAATCCAAACCAAAGGGTAATACTATGGTACTACTTAATAAAAATAAATAAATAAATAAAAAAGGAGAAATCTGGTGCTGGGCATCACAAAATGTTCTACAACCAATGATAAATAACTAAATGTATAAAAAAGTAGCGTTTGAATATTAATCATTACATCATTTGTGCTTAATTATAATGATTTGGATGAATAATTAACTTACATTATAGAGATGTCTAGAAGGAATGGAGGCAGCATCAAGCAGGGGCCAGTGAAGGAGCCAGCACTAACCTATAACATAATACAAATCTGTACCTGTTCCCAGGGGGCCTCGTATCTGGGTTTAGTAAAGGATATGGCCATTCGGTGATCTTTTTGGCGTATTTTCGAATTATGTTGTCTTCACTGAAGAGAAACAGAGAGCGGTTGACCGTCAGGCAGTTCTGTCGGACCGGGATCGGGTTGTAGAGGGCCATGGTCCGGGCTCTCTGGGCCATCGATTGCTTGTACATTCTCTGGGCCCCTGGCGGGCCGCCCTGCCTGCTGCCGCCGCGGCCGGGTCCCCCCTGACCGGAGCCCCCGCCGCCGTACCTGGCCGGCACTTCGTCTCCGAACCGAGCCATTCTGTAGACACCAAACGCCAATCGTTACGAAGCAGCCGAGAAGGGGGTGAAGTCTCAGGGTGACAACACCACATTACACCCCATCCGCCTCAGCACAGAGCACACAGACATTCAGATCTGATCTTCATGGTTAAGAAATGTCCATCATAAAGCACCAAACAAGATCAGTGGTTGGGGAAATGTGTGTGAGAGCGTGTCAGCGCCAAAAAGGGACTCAGATAACGAGATTGATGGATGGATAGATGGAGTATGTCCTTTCAATGGTGCAATCAGCTCAACAAATAGTCAAACAAATAGTCAAACATAAAGAGATAAAATGTCGACGAATTATCTTCCTCGGGAGGGTGGGATCCACATTTTAAGAAGTATTTCCCGTCTCAACAGCTCGGTGTGGGTCGTCTTGCCATTCGCAAGGTGTGCATACAGATCCTTTTAGCATAATTGCGTTAATAAATTACATGTAAATTAGCATCAACTATATCAGGTCTAATACGTCTCTCTAAGGAGTTGCATTCTTGTTTTTTTTTCACATCCACAAGACGAAAATAGAATGTAAAAATGGTGAAAACCTTTTAATTATTAATTTATTTCTGTGGTATCCGCAATGTTTGGGATAATATGGCAAAAATCAGACTCCCCTCCGCCAAACTCTCGAATTACACTCGCAAATGCAGACAACGGGGCTTCCCCAAAAAAATCCACACCTCGGTCACATTTGTTGATTTTAGTAATTTAAGTTTATCTGCTTTTTTAGAGCCATATCGGTCCTATATGGTGGGCGTGAGCGCGCGCTGGGAAAACAAAAAACACCATGTCAAGATATAATGATGATCTCTTGCGGTTTCTCCCTCAATTCCTCACTAAAAACAATTATCATCTATACTCCAGAACTCGTAGACAAATCCAAGACGCGAAAAATCCGACGGTGGTCGTTGAAATGAGCATAATCAGTTTTGGAGAGGCGCCGGAGCGCGTGGATTGAAGCTCGAGCTCGCATCTTCTGTGGTAACCGAGAGGAACCAAGAGGCACCCATCGCCTGAAGCCCCCCTAAAATGCTCCGCCTCGGGGTTTTTCTGTCGCCTCAGTGGACGACGACCGATTATTTCGGATTTAAAAGTTTTATTTTTGGCGGAGAAAATGAAACGGAGACGCGGGGTCTCGAGCGCAATCCTCTTCAGATCAGCTGGCGGGTTTAGAGCATCTGATCAATTTAACGCTCGTGCTCAAGCCTTGCAGCACATGACGCGCGTCCCCGTAGCGATTCGCTTATCCTCCAGCTCACTCCTCCTTATGGCCAAGACAAGACTCAACCGAACAGTGCGTGCCATTTTGCTTCTTCTCGCAAACCGTGTGAGACGAGACATTATTCAAAGACGATGGATGGATTCATATCTCTCAATACGTATTGTGTCTGAGTCATACACTTTTCCGGAAGAGGGAGTGTGTACTTGTTGACCAAGTATAGATTTGTGGGGACTTTACAGTGTCCTTATTACACATTAAATCTTACTATAATTAATCATACACTGAAAAATGTACGGTTACAAAATTAAACAGTGGTTACATGAAAATTTCAAACATTAGCATGTTGGTAATTGTATAATTTTTGTAGGTCATTAAAGTGTATAATAAAATACAAATCTTTTGGACCAATTAAAATATGTAAATGTACACATAATAGGAGTGGAGGTACAATGGAATCCACATTTTGTTACAGTACCATAATACATCATCAGGAAACACACTACACAAAAACAATGCTATAAACATTAACTAAACAATATGAATGCAACATAAAACACTCCAATGGACACTATTTTCAAAAAGTTTGGGGTCAGTGAGTTTTTTTTTTCTTTTCTTTTTATTTCCTTTTTACAAAAGATATTTCAAATAATTGATGTTCTTTTCTATTTATCAAATCCTAAAAAAAAAACTGAATGAATGAATCACAGTTTCCACAAAAATATTAAGCAGCACAACAGTTTTCAACATTGATAATAAATGTCTCTTGAGCAGCAAATCAACATATTAGAATGATTTCTGAAGGATTATGTGACACTGAATACTGGAGTAATGATGCTGAAAATTCAGCTTTGGCGTCACAGGAATAAATTATTATTTTTAAATATATTCAACGAAGAAAAGAAGCAGTTATTTTAAATTGTAATAATATTTCCCAATATCACTGTTTTTCCTGAAATTTTTTATTAAATAAATGCAGGACTGGTGAGCATAAGATACGTCTTTCAAAAAAATATTACCGACCCCAAATGTTTGAACGGCCATGCACAGTATATAACTAATAATATAAGAGATCGTTTAAGTAAAATTTAAACAAATGTGATGGTTTAACCACATTAACTCCACCATCCCGTATCCGGGATATAAAAACGTTGTTTTGACGTTCGTACGTTCTTTTTAAGGACTTCTATATTTAGCATTACTCAATTCTTGGTATCATTTGAAAGCTTAGAATCTATACTTTACAAAGAATACCATCACTTTCAGTTTTATGAGACATATCAAATGAAATATTAGCTTAAATATGCATTGGTCCCAGGCAAATATTTCCGCTTTATGATTGCGAATAAATCTTTCTACAAATATTTATTTTTTATATATTTCACAAAACAGTCAAATCATATATTACAATAAAGCTCTCATTCTAAGGAATGTGTGAATATAGGTTATTACATTGTGAGACAATCATAGATCGAAATATCTTCAAAATAATCGCGGAGTGAAATAATATCAAACCGAAATGATAGATAAAAGTATCACATTCATGCTCCGATGTCGGCTTCAGTGAGCCGCAAACAGCCACATAATCTATATCACCTTTTAGCTTAGGTGTTAAGCCTTTTGGTGTTCATTAAAGCTCAGACAACATATACTTAAATGTTTATCACTTTAAGCACTGTTTTATGAAAGTCCAAAGGGTTTACTGTAAAATGACACCAAAACTGTGTATTTAGGCCAAAGTATGTGGGAATGGGAAGCTTTTTAATTTGGGTAGGCCAAATCCAGGCGGAAATCCCCCAAAATGGCAAGGATTGTAAGAGGTTAAACAGAATTCTGGGAATGTCCCTTTGCCCATAAACTATAAAGCAATTGACTTTTTAGTTATTTTATATAAGTTTATCATTTTCTTTTACTTACTATACAGTGTCTTATAAACATTTAAATATAATTTAAATATTTTACGTAATTTTATGAGGTAAGTTCCACTGTTTTTTACATAGTAAAATTAGTCAAATTAAATGCAATGTCCTTTAAATATAATTTTTTAATATGATAATTAGATCTTTTTAGCGTATATGGTAGATAACTTACAGTACAGTTAACCAATAACACGTTTTTACATAACATTGCAATGTGATGCTCTCTCTCTGAACAGACAGTTTGTCAGCCTGAAAAGACACTCAGGAGAGTGTGTGTGTCCTAAAAACACTCTGCTCATATCATGCCCATCTGTCCACCTGGCACCAGCCTCTGATATGCCTTTGGTTGCTAATTCCCTGGGTTTACTCTCCAGCTAAACTTGCTGAGAAAACGTGTCCGACTTCCATCTGAAGACAGCTGGTGGCATACTAAAGGGCTGTGAACTGAATTTGGAAATGTTCTGTTTGAAGGAATGCGTAATATTTGCCGTGAAAAATCAACGGGCGCTCTAGATTGACGCTGCCCATGGTGCTGAAACTGTACTACCCCCCCTGCACTGAAACTGCGCTATCCGTGGTCCTGAAATCAAAGGACAAACTCTGTATCAGAAATAAATCAGTGCAGGTACAGCATGATTAGTCAGCGCACTTGTTCCGAGAGCTTTCGAGTCAAGCTGCCCATAATAATGCAATAAAAGGGGAGGATTCCCGCTGAGGAGGTGGAGTGGTTGTCCTGGTAGTGGGCGAGCGTGAGTGTCGGTAAGGGGCGTGGATGCGCAGTCTATAGCGTATCTGCCGGAGCGCCTGGTGTAATGCAACAAAGATGATGAGCCTCCGCGTTGAGAGACATGGTTAATTAAGGCATAATGCATTCGCTTGGGGAGACAATTTGACAAAAGGTTTTATAACACACAGCACAGAGGGGAGAGAGAGAGACAGAGAGAGAAATCACCATTGCAGCACACACTGCACATAGGTGACTATTCACTGCTAGCCTTCAGCAACACATTTTATAATTAATTTCTGAGCTCTTTGTTGTTGTACAGTCCAATTTTTGACATTTGCATCAGAACCAGTTCAAATGCAATAAATAAGGCAGACAATTAAATCAATGTTTATATATCTTGTGTGCATTCTGTGCAGTATGCGTGTGTGTAGATGTAACAGCATGCTATGTGTTCCTGTGTTTCTGGCTGAGCCGTGAGACTGAGTCGTGCTGGGGCCCTGATGTGCACCATTGTCATTCAGACCGCGTTCACACGGAAACCCTGCAGGAAGCACCCAGTGCTCCCCCGCATTCTCTCTCTCTCTCCCTCTGGCTTGCTTTTTGCTCTCTCTCTCTCCCCGGCCCGCTCCTCTCCTTATTCGTTCCATCCTTCCACTTCCTCTCTCACTGCGCCCATCTAGCCTCAAGTACAGCAAGAAGCAGAGAGAATGTATCAGAACACATGGGAAAAGGAATTCGGGAATGCAAATATGAGAGCGTTTGTTTATAATGGTAAGACATATAACTCTCGAACCACCTGCTCTCTAAGCTCTGGCCCTTCAGGAATATACAGGGTTACCAGATGGTGTTTTGACTGAGCATAGCGTGAAGCATGATAACCCTCACATCCATCCACACACAAGCAAGCAGTGAGCATCAGATCTAATAGGAAAGCAGACAATTAATTGTTATAAAACAATAAGGTTGGGATGGAGCATTTTGCATTCAACCGATCTTCCTACTAAAAAAAGTAATGGATAAATGAATCAAAAGAGTGTGCCACTAGTCATGTTGATGTCTTTTTATATCACTTTTCAGGTGCATTTTCATTTTAAAATGACTGAAATAAGTCA